GTTGTATGGCTGCTGAATATTTAAGCACGCAGATACCCCCCCTCCACCCCCGCCCACCCTGCCACCCATCTATATGTGTACTCATGATGGGTGAGTTGATTAGGATTCCGAGGCCGCTGTGCTGCTGTACTGCTGTTCTGCTGACTCAGGCTGTATTTTACAGTGCTTGATGAAATGGCCTGTGCGGATTCATCTACGGATTACCTAGAGGCAGATACACCACACGCACCTCACACACACCACACACACATATGACTGAGAACGCAGCATACACTCTAATGAGCAGCTGTGGTACAAATGATCAAACCACACACACTGCACTACTGATTCACTTTACTACTGATTCAATTATACTGCACCACTGATTCACTTACACTGTACTACTGATTCACTTATACTGGTTCACTTATATTACTACTGGTTCACTTATATGACATTACTAATTCACTTATATAACACTACTGATTCAATTATACTGCACTACTGATTCACTTATATTGCATTACTGACTCACAAATAGTGCATCACCCATTCACTAATAATGGATTTAATAATAATGGATTACCCATCTACTATTATTGCATAACCGATTTACTAATACTACATTATTGATTTACTAATACTGCATCATTGATTCACTCTTACTGCATTGCTGATTCACTATTACTCCATTACTGACTCACTAACACTGCATCACTGACTTACTATTATTGTATTACTGATTCACCAATACTGGTTCAATAATACTGCATTACTGACTCACTATTATTGTATTACTGATTCACCAATACTGACTCATTAATGCTGCATTACTGACTCATTAATACTGCTTTTCTGACTCACTATTACTGTATTACTGATTCACCAATACTGACTCACTAATACTGCATTACTGACTCACTATTATTGTATTACTGATTCACCAATACTGCAATACTAATTCCCAGTGATTCACTTGTTGTTGCTGTTGTTGTTACATTACTTTACTTATTACATAATACTTTAAACAAAGTTCACTTAAAATAAAATACTTATTTAATTATATAAGAAAATATTATGACTATTATTTGTACAACATGTTTTATACATAAAAATATAGCCCAAGTAAAAGTGTTGTACAGTCACTTTGCATGCATATATACAGCTTTATTAAAAGGGTCTGTACTGTACATTTTTCTTTTTGTATTTTATTTATTTTCTGAAGTCCACTTATGACATTTTTTATGGTTTTATGTACCAAAAATAATCATAATTCTTTTTTACATGACTATTTTTCCAAACTCTCTTTATCCCTTTGGCTGTGTTTGTTACAGTGCCTTTAAGACATAATGTAAATAAGCTCTGTTCTGATTCGCTGACTCATTCAAAGTCTAATGGAGTGAACGGTGCTTATACACTACATAAAATTATTTTGGAAAAGCAAGGAAATTTTGATATTATGTTTTTCATGATATGGGCCCTTTAAATAAACCAAGAAACTGGATCAGATTAATGTAGATTCAACACACTGAATCCTGTATCTCATTTACAACAGTTCCAGTTCTCAGCTCTATTCAGCTTTATGGCTCATTAACTCACCAAATAAATTGTATTGTTGGGATCTGTGGTCGAACAAAGTGTCTCATGTTACCTGTAATATGCACTCAAAAGACATTCCAGTGTGGAAACACTCTGCTAGTGACATTATTCACCTCAGTTTTTAGTGGCAGATCGATCCCAGATGACAGGATAATGTAGAAAACCTCCAACAAATATATTTATTCAGTCCCAATTGATGAATATATGGGAAAGTTTGGTTAAAATGTGAGGTTTAGCCTTGAACCACATACACATATAGTTCAAGTCTCTGTTTGGATGAACCTTAGAGCTAGTTTCCCTTTCTGATTTCCCAACTGTCCCGCTCTCCACATCCTCCACTCCTCCATATTCTATTTCTATTTGATCTTGAGTGAAGTATGACCTGGCTAAAATAGATTTAGGAGTAGCCTGTGGGCTCCTTCCTGTAATGAGGTCCCGCTTGGCGACCCATTTAGACCTACTGCGATACAACTTACAGTGGGCTGACACCTAGTGGCAACAGTGGGTAAGGCAGGATTACATAATGAGGAGCCCAAAAGAGAAGAATGGAGCCCAAACTTCAGTTCCTGTGCTGAAGGTGCTGGATGCACTATGAGGTTCCACTGCAGTAACTATAGGTTACTCAGTACTTAAGTAGTAATTTGGACCTCCTACTTTTGTACATCTACTCTAGTAGTTTTATGGTTTCTCTGTGAAATAACCGCAGCAACAGTGGTGATCCACCTGACCACTATCTACTGTCTCCCCATTATGCCAGTCATGCATTCTGGGCCTTGCCTCCACTGCTGGTGACTGACCTGAGCTGGACAATGGTCGCCTTCACACCTTTTGATGTGCCCCTCTCAGTATGCATAAGCACGCCCGGTCGAAGTGGAGAAAGTGGCCAGTCTGTGATGTCGAGCAAGTCAAAAGCCGTCCACACTTCACTCGACCCACAACCTGCTGAATTTCCTGGCCATCTTCCCACCGGGTGGAGCCTGTGGCATGACCCAGGACGGTGTCCTTTCTCCCTGTAAAGCTGGCTCACCGACTGCTCTACTGCTCGCCGTGATGCTTCCACATTAAGCCTTCAAGGATTTTGCCCACCTTCCTCCTGCCAGCACCGGCATCCTGTCTCGCCGTGCCATCTCTGACATCAAGCCTTTCCACCCCAGCCTCGTCGTCAAGCCCGCCCACACCGGCTTTGCAGTGGAACTACTTGGTGCTGTCCTCGTCGCCGCAGTCTTTTCGCCGGGTTCTGTCTCTCTCGCTGCTTGCCTTGAAGTTCTCTGAGGCGTCTTTCCACTCCAGCCTGCTCAAGGGCACTATCACACTTCTGACACCACTGTAGCGTTGACAGACACATAACTGAAACTAACAACAAGCAACATTAACAACAGTAATAATAAGTACCTTTTCCATAGGGTGCGCTCATGAGCGTGCTTGCATGTCGCTCTGCATGGCCACGCCTACAGAGCATCTATGGCAGAGTGAGCCAGTAGGGTGATGCTACAATATTTTACCAAATATGACTTTTGTTTTGAAGACCTCCCCAAAATATAATATATACAAACATACATTTAACAAGTATTTACAGACATTCGCCCTGAACTTATATTTCATGTGTACATTTTACAGAAAATTGCACAGAAGCCTTAACAACTAAACATCAAAATAATAATATAATATAAAAATGATAATAGCGATATACATGCACTTTTTCAGTATTTAGTGTGTCCATTCTTCGCCTTCATTACAGCTTTAATTCTTTTCAGCAGACTCATTTTCACTTTTTCAAAGAAAATCTGCACAGACATTTTTCCACACTTCCAAAGTTCAGTCTTAGAAGTTGGTTGCATTTTCTGCTTTTCATCATATGAGTAATCACAATCACAAATTTAGCTTGTCCATAAAATCTCATGTCCAGTTTTGGTGTTACAGGACAAAGCACTATTCTTTTATGCATATTTCTTTCTTTGTCTATTAAATTAAATAAAGAATGATCTCTGACTTTTGCATAGTACTGCAAACATACACAACCAGCAAAGCAAACTAGCATTAGCAAGCTACCAAGTGCACTCTGCATGTTGCTCCTGTGTTATCCTGATGCATGCAGAGACAGCAGCAATAGGCTGTTTACTTCCATCATCGCTTTAAAAATTGCTGATCCGACTGATTAAATTTGAACTGGTTTGATGATTATTGTGTTTCATGCCACAGTATATCATTATAACAGCCCCACTGCAGCTGACAAAGAAGACCATTATTCACGGTTTCTCAAAAGGAGGCCTAAACTGAGGCCCATCTGCATTCTGGACAGCACAGATTCATACTTTCAGAGGATCTTTTCTCAAATTCACTCAAGGATTTGATAACTCAAAACTGTGGTGCAGGTGCTCTACTCAACAGGACTATTTGGAATTATAGTGCTAAAGACATTTATTTTCAATATGAGGAATTATACATACTGTAAGCATACATTTTTAATACGAGGAAACATATGTACACATATTTTTCTCCTGTGTGGGAAGACACAATATTAATTCAAATAAATAAACAAATGATATATATATATATATATAATCTCCATTTTTGTAATTTTTCTGTTTTTGACATAATTTAAAAATACCTGTTACCCTTTAACAGTGTTTGTAAATTTCATGATGAATGGACTAAAAGAAACGGCCCAAAATGACTTGGGAAAAAAGTCTGGTTCCATTGACTTACATTAAAAGTAAAGGAAGTTCTTTCATTCACACATCATCGTTTTATCATCTCACTCATGACACTCATCACACTGATTTGTTTATAGTTTATTGATAGCTTTTTTATTGCTGCTGTAATTCTGCAATTTAATAATGTTTGTTCTATCTATCTATTTATCTGTCTCTCAGCAAACAGCATACAGCATACTCTCTCTCTCTCTCTCCCCTAAATAATAGTAAGATGATTTGTTCTGAGTACACTTATAATTACCCACCTCTTCTTGTACAAATATATTTTTTTTTTGATCCTGCACACATCAATACGTCAACCAGATAATTCCATTTTGTATTATTCTGAACTGACCATGATGCACTAAAACCACACACACAGTGTACAAGAAGATCCTGGCACGACTCGGATGAACCAACACGAGTGAGCAAACAGTCCAGCCTGCAGGAAGAATGAATGAACACATCATCAAACGAGCAGCACTTACGTCATTGGCTTTTATAGGAGCGGCGGAGGGATACGAAACAAAGACAGCAACTCCTTTAAGCGTTTTCAGAGATGTCAGCAGCGTCACTGTTATTTCGTTCCAACAAAGGCACGCATGATATATGAGCTAATTGTTCCCAAACTGCAACGGCACGTCGTGTTTTATTCGTCTTTGTCTGCGGACTACTTCGGTGAGCGGAGGGACAAAGACCTGAGACGCGCAGCACGATCAGGTGCGTGACGCGAAAACAGTCATTCAGTGATGCAGAAGCTAATACGCTCAACATCAACAGCAAACAGTGAGATTTAAAGGCACATATAAACCTGTGATATACACAGAAAATATATACGTAGCTGCACAACACTGCCGAGCTGTTCGTGACGGAGTAAAACATGGTATAAAAGGTAAGACGGCGTTTTATTCCGAGGGTTGATAGCTAGCCTGAGCGCTAACAGTTACCTCAGAAGGTGCAGTACTGGTTAGCAGGGCGAGCTAACGGTCGATATAGAGGCAGGTGTAACGGCGAGTCATGTCTGAATGCAAACAACGAGTATTTTATTTGATATCTTCGCCCTTTCTGTGTTTTTTTCCCGGTTTGCGGTCTGGTTAGCCCGCTTGTGTCGTTATGGTTTAACCAGCATCTGTTGACTCGATTCTCCAGCTGGTTAAACCGCTACCACAGATGCAGATTTAAAGGGGAACTCCACCGATTTTTCAAAAGCCTCTCCGTAATTCAGCGCTTGAGTGATAAACAAAACATTCAGAGTAGTTTGATGTGAAGTAATTCACGTATAGAGAAACTTAGCAACACAGATCTTTACACGTTTCTTTACAGTCGTAGTGACAGATAGGAATCAGAGGTCCTAATGTCTACAATGCGTACAACCACAAGTGAACCTACAAGTGTCTTCTGAGCTTTTATATGTAATACCGATGATGGATCCTCCATGTATCCCTCCACCGTGAATGGAGTAAAATGCATTGATTAAAATACGTAGACCAAAATCTTGTCAGACACCAGGCAGCGTATTAACAACCGTTTCATGTTGTAACTTTCTGTGAGGGAGCTTTTAGAGGTGGATGTCTGGTTCCTATCATCACCACTGTGAACATTTCTGGCAATTCTGACTCGGTAAGTTTCTCTAGAACGGAGCATTTTACACCAAACCACTCTGAATGCCTCTGTTTACATGTTGACCATTTAATCATGCAGAACTTCCCCTTTTACCTGTGTGTTGTGAACTGTGGCTGCTTTGTTATTTTGCAAGCTGACTCTGTACGCGTATAACCAGGTTTGCCAGGCTTTATGACGCTGACTCAGAAGGAAATATGTCTGTCTAAGGCCTCTAAAACCTGTGAAATTTGGTGAGAGACAACTTTACCTGAACACGATGCACCTGTAGCCCCTATAGGTTTGCTTTCTAGATTACTAGACAAACTAGACAACATAATCACAAATCTGGGTTACTGCTAAAGGAGACTAAAGCTCTTTGCACATGAAGGAGTGGGCAGTATGACGATATATTGTCGCAGTACGTTTTTCTGACTATATCGTGGATACGTAAATCTGATATATGGCAATATATAGGTTCCAAATATATGACTCATATTAGCATACATGGGTTTCTCTTATATCCAACTTACATTAGTCACGTGGACATTTATGTGACATATATGCCAATTTATTTGAAACTGGCTATTTTCAAATATGGGACATGTTTTAGCCATATATCAACATATGCAACAGTATATGACAGAAAGCATTCATATATTTGGATGCATGTTACATAATATAAGGCTTTTATACACATTCTGTGTTACTGTATAACCAAACTCTAAAAACATTCTTACTGTAAGCTATGCAATAAAATCATTAAAACATGAAATAAATGAAAATATTGCTCCCAGACACATTTAAATAATTTAATATTCAAAAATAAAATAACATGGTAACAGTTGTAACTGATGTATGAACGTATTTAACCATGCAACAGACATATATGTATGATCTATATATTAAGTGTATATGTCCATTATTTTATACATATATGTACACAACATGCATATGTTTTTAAAAATATATGCCTGACCCTTTATGATTGGCCATATTAAGCCATATATCAGTTTACCGTACGGTTGACCAATTTCAGGTTTCATTGCAAAGAGCATCAATACTCATTGGACGCACAGTTTTGAGAGCTGTTTTAAAAGCTGGCACTGATTGCATTGTGTCATGTATCATGAAGCTTTTTTTATAGTATTGTAATATAAAGTTTTTTCAATAACATCATCCCGGACCTTACCAGCTACATGTGCAGCCCTGGTGAAAGAGTAAATTAAAAAACAAAAAAAAACCTTCTTTGAGTGCCTTGCAAAGCCCTGCATGTAAGTCTTCATCCCGCATATATGTTAAATATAAGTTTTAGTCCAACACAATATTTCCAACTATTAATTCTGACTCTGGTTTCTCAAGTTTCTCTAGAACAGAGCATTTTACATCAGACCGCTCTGAAAGACTTTATTGACATCTTAACGATTGAATTATGCAGATAATTATCTAAATCGGTCAAAAATTGGTAGGATTCCCTCAGGATTCCCTATAATTTTCATATGATCCACACAGTCATTCTGACAGACTGTAATATACTACAGGAAGCATAGGGGGCGATATGGCTTCTACTGTTTCATTTAAAAAGCCTCTATAATGTTCATATGATCCACACAGTCATTCTGACAGACTGTAATACACTACAGGAAGTGTAGGGGGCGATATGGCTTCTACTGTTTCATTTAAAAAGCTCTATAATGTTCATATGATCCACACAGTCACTCTGACAGACTGTAATACACTACAGGAGGTGTAGGGGGCGATATGGCTTCTACTGTTTCACTGCACCGTGAAAAATAACGGATTGTCATGGAGAGAGAAACTTAAGATAAATCAAATAAGATGAAAAGGCAGAAGGCGTTATGGTTCAGTTAGCTGATTAATAGTCGATAAATTGAATAATTAGAGAACTAATCATCAGTTGAAGCCCTCGTCATTTCCGTTCGCTGCTAACGTACTAATGTGAGCTATTTATTGTACAAATGCGAAAGATCATGCATCCACAGTCATCAGTCACCTGTGTGTAGTGGTTGGGATGGTCACATCTTTTCATTTCCTTTTTTTAACTGCTGTTTGCTTAAGCAAAGTCGAGCTCTGTGTTTGCTCACCATTAAGACTAAAAATATACGCTGCTGCCAGATACGGCACATTCCATATCGTAGGACCATCAGTTTCACTCCATTAATTATTATTACTGGTTATGGTGTCTCTCAGCGGTATTGAAAAGTGTTCTGTTAGCAAGTGTCACTGCCTCTAAGACTTTATCCAGTGTCTACTGAGTCCGACAAACCTGAGTCAGTCTAGTTTCAGGACCTCTTCCTGCTTTAAAAGGGGAATTCCACTGATTGTTTTTCTTTTTAAAGTGGATTGAGATGTAAACAAAAAGGCATTCAGAGAGGTTTGACGTGAAATGGTTTTATTATTGGCTCAGATTTCTTTACAGTGGTGGTGATAGTAACCAGGAGTCGCCCATGTCTACAACACAAATATAGACATTTTATTTACTATCCAGGACCACCAGTGAACGTACACGTCTTCTGAGTTTAAATATGTAATGTTTACAACTGTAAAATAGTGGTAAATGTAAAAATGTGTTCTTTGGGGACTAATTTGCCTTACAATGCCCTGCATGTACCTCACCACCAGAATTAATTAAAATTTTTTTATAACAGAGTGATTCCAAAAGATTCATCCGATTTCAAAAAGATTTATTTCACTTTAAATCGTTACAGAACAGTGCAGTAAACTGTAAATGGTTTAAGTGAGCATAAAGTTTATTATGTAATTTTACAAGGGCTTAATATGAACCTCCTCCAGCTGTACGTACAACATCAACACCATAGTCAAATTCATCCCATACTGGATTGAGCATGTCGGGTGTCGCTGCACTCACGGCTCTTTCAGTGCGATTTCGATGATCATCCTGTGTTGTGGAAACCAACGACGAACGCTCTGAGCTGTTGGAGGTTCACTGCCGAAGAAAATCACGCTGCACAGTTATGACGGATTCACTGTTATTGAAGTGGAGAACACAGAACGTTTTCTGCTCGGGGGTCTCATCTCCTTGCAGACTGAAGGGAGCCATCTTCTGGTGACAGTCAGAAACTCTGTGACCCCCTCTTTCAATTGGATTGTGATTGGTTCCTAGGCGCCTCACGGTTGTAAAAATATGGCGCTTTGAAATCGGACGAATCTTTTTGAATCACCCTGTACTTTTTAGCTCAGCACCTAATCACAAAACAGCATAACAGCTTTCTGTAAAGGAGCTTTCAGGGACTTTTCAGACGTCTGGTTCCTATCACCACCACTGTGAAGAATTCTGACTCACTTGAGTTTCTCTAGAATGGAACATGCCACATCGGACCACTCCGAACGACTTTATTTACATCTATATATGTCATCTGCTCCTTTATTTCAGAAACTTCAGATTCTTACTATTTATGATATCAGTATTTTTCAAATAGGTGTTTTTATTTATAAGATATATTCAAGTGAAGGGATTTTTCCAGAGCAGTTTAACAATTATTTCACAGCAAAATCAGACGTTCATACATATTCAACTCGTCAAGATCTTCATCCTCCTAAATTTCTCATTGTTGAGGTCAATTTTCAATAAGATTTATGGGCACTGAAATATGGAACAGGCTTTCCTATTTGGCATTTGCTTCATTTATTGTTTTGTTTATTATTATTGTTGCTCAGGAGTTAATAAGGTTGTTTAAATCTTTATCATTTCACAAACATGTATTTATATCTCATATATGCTCTTGTCCACATACACAACACACATTTAAATGTTTTTGTTTAATGTATTACGTCGATGCTGATATTTAAGTCATTTGATGTTTGTTTTATGTCATTATTATGTTGTATATTATTTTGTATTTTCCATTATATTGTGTAATTTTATTGTTATTTAGGTGGAGGCTCTGTATAAGCCTATCAGGTTTTTTGCCTCTCCCTGCACTGTATGTTATCTTAGTCTATTTGTGTGTATTTTAAATTGTGCACCATAAAGTATAAACTATAAAACGCTATACATACATCTCAACCATTTAATTATCATTTAAAAATTGTTTCCTTTTACATGAAATATAGAGAGATAAAGCTCCTTTGCACTTTTTGTTCGGCCTGAAACGCATTGAATCTCGTTCAGTCTTAAAGCCCAAATGTTGTTGTTTTGGTATTTCTTAAAAGCTTGTGGGTTTCTGTCTCCGTTTGGGTTGGAACTCCTTGCACACTTGAACTATGCTTCTTTGCATACAGCAGGTGAGGTTGGGCTCTGTTTGTCCTTGG